GCTTATGTTTTTCCCACATAGGATGTCTCAAGCTTATGTTTTTCCCACATAGGATGTCTCAAGCTTATGTTTTTCCCACATAAGATGTCTCAAGCTTATGTTTTTCCTGTATAGGATGTCTCAAGCTTATGTTTGTCCCACATAGGATATCCCAAGCTTATGTTTTACCCACATAGGATGTCTCAAGCTTATGTTTTTCCCACATCGGATGTCTCAAGCTAATACTTCTGACATTCAGAGTTAGTCACTCAGGAAGTTAAATGGGTTATTTTTAGACCAAACACACCAGATTTTACTTGTCCATTGGATCAGGCATTACAAAATCTAAAACTGTACCGTCCGTTAACATTGTATTTTTGCACTCACAAAAAAAGGCTGAGGAACTCATGTTCTATCTCCTGTTCTATTTTTGCACATTACTCAATTTCTCTGCAATCTATTGTCATCAAACCTTATAAGTAACTTGCACATGGGATAAAGGAAGCTTATCAGTTTTGAGGTCCAATGGTCAGATTAAAACCACTATCTGAAAGAATAAGACCAGTTTTTGCACAATAACATATATATCAGAGACTTGGATTAAATTTTGTGGATGGCTTGAACTTGTTGTACATTAGAAGTCTATTGATCATGGGGCCATAGGGTCAAAGGTCATGGTCATTGTAGTATGGTTTTGCTGGTTCTTGTTTTAATTCTTTTCTGAGCTACAAACTAATTCATGTAACTGAGTGATCTGTGTCTGTCAGTGCTCATATTGGTGATGTTTTGGAAGAGCACCTGCCACAAGACAGGGACATAACTGGTGATTTGGTACATGTATATCAGTTATGTATTGATCATCTGCTTAGGAACAGACCTAAATTGCATATGCAATCAAGCTGGATAATTTTTGTGTATTGCCTCTAAAATAGATACATAAGCATATATTTCAACATGCATTTAGTTGCCTACACCAGCCAAAACAGACATGATCCAATGATGCGCCTAATTTGATTAACTTGATCCAGGAATAATTACATGGTTTTAACTTTAAGATAAATTGCTGAGGAAAATAATTATTAATTTTCAAAGCTGTTCTTCAGTTTGATTTTCTGAACCTGTTCTGCATTGGATTTACATATCAATAAAAAGGATCAGTGCTACACACAGACAAAGCAGTTTTTATATAGAAGTTATCAATATTCTTCTTGAATGAGTTATCATATTAGCATGGTGTTTTCAGTGAAAGATTTCTTGTGATGTTTACTTGGTTGTAAATTAAAATGGTGAGAAACTGACTTCTAATATTATAACTGATGCAATGTGTCTAAACAAATCCAGTGTTTAGAAGCATTTTTATATGATTTTTTCATGAGCATTAGGGCATACTTGGAAAGCTCTTCATATTTCATGAGCATTAGGGCATACTTGGAAAGCTCTTCAAATTTCATGAGCATTAGGGCATACTTGGAAAGCTCTTCATATTTCATGAGCATTAGGGCATACTTGGAAAGCTCTTCACATTTCATGAGCATTAGGGCATACTTGGAAAGCTCTTCGTATTTCATGAGCATTAGGGCATACTTGGAAAGCTCTTCATATTTCATGAGTATTAGGGCATACCTGGAAAGCTCTTCATATTTCATGAGCATTAGGGCATACTTGGAAAGCTCTTCATATTTCATGAGCATTAGGGCATACTTGGAAAGCTCTTCATATTTCATGAGCATTAGAGCAAACTTGGAAAGCTCTTCATATTTCATGAGCATTAGAGCATACCTGGTAAGCTCTTCATATTTCATGAGCATTAGAGTATACCTGGTAAGCTCTTCATATTTCATGAGCATTAGGGCATATTTGGAAAGCTCTTCATATTTCATGAGCATTAGGGCATACTTGGAAAGCTCTTCATATTTCATGAGCATTAGGGCATACTTGGAAAGCTCTTCACATTTCCAGATTTGAAAAAGTGTAATCAGTGCATCACTATTTTCTTCATTGAAAAACTACAAAGAAAAAAAACAATAGCTTATTTTCTGTTTTTGATCAAAATTAGTTATTGTTAATTCAATGGACTGTTAATTGCTGTTCACCTGATTCTAGAATGATAACACACACCACAGCAACAGAGCAATGCTCAGAGGAGGTGGTTGTTATTACGCTGTTTTTCAGCACAGGCTAGGTTATGCATGGAAGCCAGTTTAAATGGTGGAGGAAGAACCCGGGAAACCCCCAGAAAGAACTACCAACCCATGAGAAGCTACTGGCAAGCTTTCTCACATACCTACATTGTCCAGGTCTGAGACTTGAACCCACACAGATAGGGGAGAGGTGGCAGTGATCAGTAATGGTGAGTGCTTTAGACCATTCTGCCACTCGGGTCCTCTCAAATTCTGTAATTCTTGACAATATAATTTTTTAAATTAAATTTAATGGTAAATTTTAGTGGGTAAATGGCTTTTTTAATTTATATATAATATAAAAAAGGTTTACAAGAAGGTTTTGTCTATAATTGACCTTTAAATTCCTTTCATTTTGAGATTTTACAGTTTTCTTTCTCTTTCTGTAACTTTCTGTCTGTCTGTCTCTCTCACACACACATACACGGAATCTAATTTCAATACCTGCACAGGCATACTCTGTAAAAGGCACTTCAGTCTTTTTACTTGGCATGATATGGCTGATAATGTTTTAAAACCAAAAACAACAGCTGTCATAATCCAGTGTTCACCAAGCTTATGCAGACATGAAATAACAATGACATTTATACAAAGTCACCATGAATTGATTTATGTCAGTGGGACCATTGGGAACATGGTATATTTACACAGGTCAGTCTGGATTCATTTATTTCAGTGGGACCATTGGGAACAATGTATATTTACATAGGTCAGTCTGGGATCATTTATGTCAGTGGGACCATTGGGAACATGGTATCTATACACAAATAAGTTTGAATTGAATTATGTACATTTGGTCCTTATGACAGGATTAATGATCATTTTTTTCTGCTTCAGGTTACATACATAATGTTTCATGTGACAAAAGGCACCCCATGGCCCACCTCAACAGGGGAGGAACGACTCAAGACACAATGGGAACAAATTGACTTTGGACGGCAGTTCACTCCCACCAAAAAATTTATGATGATGGTTCCAATTGTCTTGTAAGTTGAACAAGTGTAGTTTTCAAGTTCTTTATGAATTTTAGCATTGTGCAAATGGTACTATAGCAACCTTATTGATTATCCATTGCAAGACCTTGGGTTGACATCACCAGAATTTTCCAATTGTGATACATGCAGAAAATGACGTGTGGGATTTTGATGGATTTTGAGGAAATAATGAGCCTAATATTATATTAGTATAGGAGGCAATCAGGGTGAGATTTTAGTTATATGCCATATCAAGCAGTTATCTCCCTTGCTAAGACTAAAACACAAATGTATATTTTCCATTTATTACATTGGTATACCTCGAAGCAATCAGGATGAGACAATCAGGGTGAGATTTAGTTATATGCCATATCAAGCAAGTTATCTCCCTTGCTAAGACAAAAATACAAATGTACATTTTCCATTTGGTGGCACTCACCAGTTATTATGTACTTTTGAGAGAGTGATGTATGTAAGGTGAAGTTGTTTCCATTTTAAACATGCACAGTGCAAAGAATGTTGGCATACCTATATACTACTTTCATGTAATGTGGATGAAATTTCTTTGGATATTGTACTTTTGGAAATTTTAAATGATCTTGGGACACTGCTAACTAAAATGACTGCTCCCTTGTGCTCCAAAAATCAACCTAAATTTGTCTAAAGTACACTATTCTTGGCAGCTATTAAAATATGGAAAATGAATTTTACCAAACTAGATAATACCAGCTTCTAAAAGTGCAATGACTGAATTACCAAATACATAAAATGTAAAAAAAGTTATCGGCTCTTTTTTTTACAATTTACCTCTGAAGTTCGAGAAGTGAAAATGAGCAAGTAGAGCTAGCACGTTTTTGAAAGATGCACATCTGGAGTAAGGCCAAGCTGTATATTCTCTAACCCATATTACACCCATCAATCATACATCAAAATAAAGGGAATTAAAGGTTCTTTGAACAACACCTAAGATATACAAAGTCTCTTTTAAATAACCAGTATAACTAGTGAGGCAACCCGGGGAAACTCTTTTTCTTTAAAATTTTAACCCTATGCTAAATACGAAACTGTAGAGCGCCACCTTTATTACATTGGTATACCTCGAAGCAATCAGGATGAGACAGTCAGGGTGAGATTTAGTTATATGCCATATGAAGCAAGTTATCTCCCTTGCTAAGACAAAAATACAAATGTACATTTTCCATTTATTACATTGGTATACCTCGAAGCAATCAGGATGAGACAATCAGGGTGAGATTTAGTTATATGCCATATCAAGCAAGTTATCTCCCTTGCTAAGACAAAAAATACAAATGTATATTTTCCATTTATTACATGCCCTCACTTTTTATACTTTTATATTTTCTAAATTTATTTTCACATTGGTTGTCAAATTCAAAAAAGATTGAGATTTGTGCAAGTTTGAATCACTAATTGTAAAAATAATAGTTTGTAGACATCATCAGAGTACTTTCAGTCTTGATGTGGGATGAAAAGTTGGAAATATTGATTAAGTAGTTGTATCACACACTAAATCAGGTTTTCAAGATCAAATAGTATGCAGCAAATGTCAAAATAGGACATTATATTGTGACACATATTGCTGTTTATTTTAATCTCAGTCATGATTTAGTAAATATTATAAGATAAATAATTTTTTTAACTCTCCAGAGTCACTGGAAATAAAATTATGACATATATTGGTCTAAGGGTAAGTATGGATGAGTGATTCGGTATCTTTATCAAGAGTTAGAAATAACAATTGTGTTCCTACTGAAATTTTCTGTATGATTATGAACACAAAACACAACAGTTAATAGACTACATCGTTGCACAGGATACCCTAATAAATCTACTACTTCAGTCTAACCGCTCTGGTGGCCTAGTGGTTAGAGCGTCCGCCTCGGATGCGGGAGGTTGCTGGTTCAATCCCCGATTGAGTCATACCAAAGACTTACAAAAAAATGGTACTAACAGCTGCCTCGCTTGGCGTTCAGCATTAAGAGGGTAGTGTTAGGACTGGTCGGCCTGGAGTCAGGATAATGTGACTGGGTGGGACATCATGCTACATGTCTATGGCATGATGTCCTAGTGCTAGACATTCACTTTAAACTGCCACACTGCAGACATCTAAGCGATATGACTGAAAAATTGTTAAAATTGTTAAAGATACGTTAAAAATCACACATCACTACTTCAGTCTGTTAAATTTGTTGCTGTTCAGTATATTTGAGTATAAAAAAGAAAGATTTGCTGATTCTGAGTCAATAACAGAAATATTTTTTCTCCTGGCTGAAAAACTAAATTAATTTCACTCATAGCTTTGCCACTTATGAAATTACTACATTTTTCATCCACTTAATAAAATATATCCATTACTCACTGAATACAAGCAAATATCCTCTGTAGATGAATGAAATCTGTGTAAAGACCAAAATAATAATAAAGAGTGAACAAAATTTCATAAATAATTTCTTTTAAATTGCTTTAAGTGAAACATGATTTTACAAATTCCATTATATTCTGATGACTCTCGGGTTCACTGGGTAGTTCCCATTTAATCTGCATCTTTGTGGCAGCATCTGTGGTTTGGATGGGATGATGTTGGCAAATATGGGTTGTCAAGTTCATCGTCCAAGCCATGAACTTCACCATCACATTACATTCCCAAAAAATGACATAATTATCAAGTAATTTTCCCTTTTGTGGAATTTCAGCTCCAAATGCTGTCAGATGAATGAATTTTGCTTTTCTGTTCGGCACCAACTCATAAGACTGTTAGCTCCTTGGTCACCATTTTGTTTTTCATTTTTATGAAATAGGCAGGATATAATATTCAGTTTAGCCATTTTTTAAGCAATGACATTTTTTCAGAAATCTCTGGTTAAAAGTCCATGCATACCTCTGATTTCTTACTACTCTGGAGGCCATAGTTCTGATCCAGTTTTGATCAAACTTTAAATACATGCTGACATTATTCAGATCACAGACTGGTTCAGTAATTAGAAAGATCCATTGATATTAATTTGGTTCGCATCTGATTGACTTAGCTTGTTACCATTCTGCATCTGATTGGCAGAGTTTGTTACAAATCTGAAGGTTTTGTTATATTCTGATTTTGATCAGACTTGGAATATGAGCATGCATCCTCAAGATCCTTGAAAAGTTTGATAATGGGCAAGATAGATAAAGTAAGGTGGTCTTGCATCGAAAGAAGAGGCATACAGGCGGATGGTATCATGACATTCCTTAGCCTTTATAAAACAAACCTGTAAGGATAATTAATCTTTCGTAGCTTAAACAGCTGCAAGTACTTTGCATTAAAAATCTGTTATACGTGGGAGGATATTAAAGTTTGCAGATAGGTAAAATATTCTATAGAAATAGTAAGATTTTTGGAAAGAAAATTATTATTTTATGATAGCCATACAAGAAAAACATTTTGCAAATTTATGCAAACTTTTAGTATAATAAAAGATGTGGAATATAAAATGTGTTATGTCAAAATCAATTTTCTTTTTTGGCAGATTTCAATAGCATCATAAACATAATACATTCCTAGACATCCTCCTTATTTGTATTTTAGCAGATTTTGTTGTCTCATGAATTTAATACATGTACATGTACTTTCTTATGTGGGGTCCCAAGTAGTCTAAACCACTGACTGTTACGGATCACTGCCATCTCACCTCTGTTTGTATGAATTCCAGTCCAGATTTGGCTAATGTGAGTAATTGAGAAAGCCTGCCAGTTGCTTCTCGTGGGTCATTGGTTATTCCTGTGGTTTTCCAGGGTTCGTCCTCCACCATTAATACTGTCCGCCATGTATAGCCTATCTTGCGCTGAAAAATGGTGTTAAACCCTATAACAACAACAAAAACAACTTTCTTATGTAGAGTATTGTATCCAATCATTTCACTTTTATACATTCATATATTCTGTATTTGTTTTTTTTTTTTTCAGGTTTTTCGTGGCCAGTTTTTATTCCAAGTATGACAAAGTTCATTTTTTCTTCAATCTTTTTTTTCTGTTACTGACTGTTGTGCCTAAACTGCCAATGTTCCATGGGGTCAGAATTTTCAACATCAACAAGTGGTGACCAGTAATGCTTGACCTGACACATCTTTGTATTAGCACCAGTGGATAATTTTATATTTTCCAGATAGATTTATCTCCCCTGGATAAAAAAAAATGCCTTCTTTTGTGTCGACCGACCATCACATATTTGTTGATAAAACCAATATTTAATAACATATTGAAGGATACATTATTGTTACCATAGCAATGCAGTATCTCTTCTATCTGTTATTGAAGACCTTGCAAAATAGTATGATACTGTTATTATTATTTATGACATTTTTTTTATTATTTCATGTCAGTTTTTGAAGCAGAGCATCCATATAGAGGGGGAATAAAAATCAAGGGAGGTAATTGTGATAGCCTTAGTATAATTATTTTTGCTAGTTAAGGTTTATGAATCCTTGTAATACATAGAGAAAATACCTCTGTATAATCATACCAGTTTTTTACCTCAACTAGTCCAATTGTTTTTTTTTGCACCAGTTTTAAATAGCGTTAGCAGTATGCCATCATTGTCAAGGATAACACAATCAAACCAGCTATCAAAATGACTCGAGATTAAAAAAGATATCTGAAAGCTGTATAATAAAATTAATTTATTGGTCACAGTTGGCATTTTAATCAATTAGGTGCATGCAAAATTGTGTGACATTGCTTTTGTGCTTGAATTTGTTCTGTTTATGCTAGGGGTTCAATTTGAGATATTAATCTCCATTAGCCCATTTGTTACTAAAGTCATGCCAGATATCATTAATGAAGCTTTCCTTTCATGTCTTAGCTGTTGCAGAGTACTGTTTGAATGTGTTTGCTTGTAAACTTAGGTACACAGTGTTTGTATCAGCTTAATTATCTTTTTTTTCTTGCTACGATTTGTTTCAAGTTTTTATGCTAATAATCTTGGCAGTCACTAGAGTATTGACATAAAGTGTTTAATATGTACAATTTACTATGAGTAGGAAGATGTGATTATATTCTTTTTCTTGATTTTGTATGTAATTAACCCAGAGCTCATTTATAACTTTTTATTTACTTGCAGAAAGTTTGCAAGAAACAATACAGTTAATAAAATGTGTTAGGAGGAGACAACTCCTTCCCAAAATATGTCTGCCAGTCAGGTGGTCTCATTTGCAGTAATTAAATTATGTAACACAGTTGATAGCTGCATGAAAATTGGACTCATTTATGGAAGGTGGGTTTATTCATCAGTTCTTTATATATGTGATAGATTGGTGCCTTTTGAATAATGTATTTATATTCTTAGAAAGTAACTAGACTTTTATGACTGCATTGTTTGACTTGAAAGGGAGAGTACAAGATTTGCCTTTTGCCTGACATTTGCTATGTGTGTTACTTGAGAGGGAGGGTACAAGGTTTCCCTTTTGCTTGACATTTACTATGTGTCAAACTTGAGAGGATGGTACAAGATTTGTGTTTTATCTGACGTTGATTAGATGGATTACTTGATAGGGAGAGTACAGGACTTTTGCTTTTTGTCTGACTTGTGAGACTATAAGAATAAACCATTCTGTACACAATGTGAAGAGAGTTATATCCCTTGATAATTGGATGATCCATCAAATGCATCAAAAAATCATGCACAAAGATATCAGTAGTTAGTCTTGTGTCATAGTTAAACATTTAACTAGCATACATAAATTCTGCTTTATGTTGGCATGTAATTGCTGAAATCACTTCCAAATATAAGAAATTTTACCCAAAAAGACCTTTGTTATGTGGAGCTTTTCATTGTGTAAGAGTAGGCCTGGCCATAACAGCAGTGGAAGTATAATTTCAGGTATAGTGTTTTAAAAACCTTTTATGTTGTACAAAAATACAGTCACTTGGTATTGTCTCATATGCATCAGTAAATGTCAATACAGTGGCATCCTTAATGGTTTTCCTGCTTTTTGGATTTCCAGTAGATGCAAATAAATATTTTTGGGATGTTTATACTTTTTTTTATGGAATTGTGAAAGTGAAAAAGTGGTAGGATTTGTTTCTCAAAGATCATCAAGTTCTTTATATACAAAGCTATAGACCAAGTTTGTTGAAATGTAGAAATTCATGATCCAAAACTAGAACTACTGGAAGCAGGGACTTTAGAGAGCTATGGTTTATCATGAGGTAAATGAATTGAAATCCAGGCATTTTTAATTTTGTTCTCAAGGGAATTGAAAATACCTTCAGTTAATATATGTAGTGTGTTTAAAATAAGCTCTTTTCAGGATACACAAAATTATTCTGGCCTTAGAACAAAAAGAAACAAAAATTGTTGTAGTGTTCCATTACAGAAGAAGCACACACAATTCATCATAAACCTTCATGCTTGAATGCACCTTTGTAATTTTCCTTACAGAATTATCAACTGTTTGATATGTCCTATTGTTTTCAATTTGGTTTTTTAAATGACATTTAGATAAATTTCTTGAGGTTTTTGAAAAAAAAAGAGTATAATTACTGTTGAAGTAGTCATTTATTTATGAAGTGGGAACTTGTATAACCAATTACTGTACAGGGAATGGTGATTTATTGCAAACAGTTAATATCTTACGCAATTGTATCATGAAGTGACAAACATTACTACAGCTTGCAATTGTTGTTCTCTGTTTGGAAAAGCACTTGTAACTGTCTCCCATTATCTTAACAGGGCCTTGAGTGATCTAAGACACTTGCATGAACATTTCACTGACATGTCACTTCGGTCAATGTGAGTTTGAGTCTCAGCTTGACTGATATTATGTCAGGGTTGCATCAAAGATGGCCTGACTGACAGTAGGTCAGGTTGCATTGAAGATGACCTGACTGACAGTATGTCAGGGTTGCATGGAAGATGGCTTGACTGACAGTATGTCAGGTTGCATTGA